GGTCTTAGATTATTAGATAATAGATTATCAACATGCCACATATCACTAAATATTTTATAATATGTCATTGTCACAAATCATAATAATTTTGATTTTTAGTTACGACTAAGTGACTACTGACTTGTGTAACTTACTAACTTAGTTAAATTCGAATAGAATCGTTTATATTTCAATAACAATTTCACATTCTAATATTCTATATCTGTTATAATGAATCCTTTGTACGATCCAGTTGTCTTGTTACAAGAAACTCCATATAGGCGTTGGAATACACTTGATAAAAATGATTTACTTATGCAAGGTAAATTAACTCCTCATCTTACATGTTTGTCCACTGACAGGATAGGTTCTAAAGTATTTAGTAGATCATTTAGATCATTTAATTCAAATGTGTATGGTAAACATTCATGGTTGTGTGGTAGTCATTATCTACAAAAGTTATTTTGTTGGCCATGTTTGTTGTTCAGTCAAACAAAGTCTGTTTGGGTTACAGAAGGTTACAATGACTTTAAAAATCTGTCTAGAAGCATTCAAAGACATGAATCTTCAAAAGATCATGTCCATAATAATTTCAGCTTAAAAAAATTGGAAAGCAATACAGTCACTGTTGTAGATACACTTAAGGAGCATGGTAAATTGTTTAAGAAAAATTACAATGAAAATGTTAGACTAAATCGGCTATTTATGGAGCATTTGATTGATTTAGTATTATATTTGTCCAAACAAGAGTTAGCTTTACGTGGGCATGACGAAAGTAATAGTTCATTAAATAAAGGTAATTACAAAGAGTTATTTGAAATGTTTTTTAGTAGATTCTCATTAGAAATTCAAAATCATTATAAAACTATTCAAAATAAGTTTTCTGGTACATCAAAAATTATTCAAAATGATTTAATTTTTTGTATTTCTGAATATTTGTCAAATCATATTAAACAAGAAGTTAGAGATAGTATATTTTATTCTATTCAAATTGATGATACAACTGATATTACCCAAAAAAACACAGTGTTCTGTTATTTTAAGATATGTCACTAAAAAATCTGAATTAGTTGAGCGGTTTTTTGGATTTCATAATGTTAGTGAAGATCGGACTGCAGAAGGGTTGTTTAATTTAATTAATACTATTCTACAAGATTTTAATATTCAACAAAAGTTAATTGGTCAATGTTATGACGGTTCTAGTGTCATGGCATGCAACATAACGGGTTTACAAGCCAGAATCAAAGCTATTGCACCTAATGCATTATTCACTCACTGTCTAGCACATAGATTGAATTTGGTTTTGCAACATGGGTGTAGTTTAAATGACAAATGTCGCATATTCTTTGCTAATATGACTGGTATATCTGCCTACTTTCACAACTCTACATCCCGTACTAATGTTGCTGATGAACTTATTGGAAAACGTGTTCCCCAATTTGTTCAAACCAGATGGTCATCAAGATCAAAAATTTTACATTTATTGGTTAATGAATGGTCCAAATTTCAAACAGTTTTTGAAACTATAATTAATAATCCTAATTCCTCCGCAGAATCTATTTGTGGTGCTATAGGACATACTAAAAATTTAAAATCTTTTGAATTTGCCTTCCTTGCACTTATATTTAGTGACATATTTTTAATTACTGACAATTTATTTAACACATTACAGAATAAATCTTTTGATATTGAATATTGTCTCAGAAAAATTAATATAACTTGTGATCTTATACAGAAAAAGAGGAATGAAACAGAGTTTTCAAATTTTTTTAGTAAAGCAGTTACCCTAACAAAGTTTCCAACAGCTAAAAGAAATAGTTCAAACACTGAAATAAATTTTAAAATTCTATTTTATGAAATAATAGATAGTATTCTTATGCAATTGCGTACAAGGTTTAATGATACAGATAGATTGTTATTCTTACAATTGGCTGATGTATCAAAATTCAAAGAATATTCTAACCAATTTCCCATCATTGCTTTTAAAAATCTAAAAAGAACATATTCTGATATATTCCATGATGAAAAAAAATTTAAAGTAGAATTAGAAGTTTTATACAATGATGACAAGTATCAAAATCTACAACATATTTATGACTTGGTTAAAATATTTGAAAAAAGTGGTATAAAGGATGTTATGCCTGAAGCATATAAACTATTTGTGTTAATTTTGACCATTCCGTCAACAAGTGTTTCTGTTGAAAGAAGCTTTTCTTGTTTAAAAAGAATTAAAACCTATTTAAGAAACAGTACCTCACAACAACGCTTGAGCTGTCTCTCTACAATATCTATTGAAAAGTTACTAACTCAGCAACTTAAACAAAATGAACCATTTTATGATGATATTATAAATATTTATGCTAGTCAAAAAGACAGAACTATTAATTTAATGTATAAAACATAATAAAAACAATATTAATTGTTTATTTTCCTCATTACAAATTTTGCTATTTTATTAATCCTATTGTACCTGTTTGTTATTATGTATAATAAAATATTTACTTCTTGATTTTATGTATATTAGGTATTATTAAGTATATTTTCTATAATTTGTTTTATTTGTATGATACTAGAAAGAATAAAAATATCCTAGTCCATTAAAAAAATGTTATTGTTATTAATTATTATTATAAATGTTTTTTTTAATTAAAAAAAATTAATATTTTTAAAATTTTGTTGATGAAGGGGGAGGGGGAGCAAAGCCCACCATGGGTTAGCCTGGGTTACAAAATGTTGCCTCCTCTAAAATTTAATGCCAGAACCGCCACTGGTTGTGAGTGAAGTAATATATAGGGTCTTTGATAAATAGGTTGTTGATTATGATTTAAATTAATAACATGCTCTGCAGCATTTGTAAAAGTTAACCGATCTCCCTCCAAATGAAATATTTCTGCTTATTTTTCACATATCTCAAATATAGACTGTTTTTCCTCAACATTCATATGATCACTTAGTATTAAATTCAAAATTCTATTCACTCGATTTTTATTATTATTGTCAGTATGTATTTCGTGTATACTATAATTTTTTGATGGTTCCTATAATATTTTATTAATAGTACTTTCATTTATTTCTTTTGTTACTTCAGAAACATTTAATATACTAATTATTATTTTCCCTGACCTTACTGTTCCTATTACGTTGGTACAGTACACATCATTAATCAGTTCTTGTTTATAAATAAAAATATTTTTATTTTCCATAGTAGTGTCGGCAATTGGCACGGTGACTACTGTTTCTGTTCTTGGTTTTAATGTAAAACTTAAATTATCTTTATTAATTAACTTATCATTTATTATTAACGAATTATTAGCTATATCTATAATTGCTCTATTTTTTATTAAAAAATCATGTCCTAAAATACCATTTTTTAGTATAGGAAACGAGTTTTGTACCACTTGAAATTCTGTTTCAATATCATTATTATCAACATTTAAAATTATCTTTACTAATCCTACTGTCGATACTATATTATCATTAATTCCCTTTAAATATATTTTTTTATTTTCTTGTACAAGTGTTTCTCCTGTTAAGGCACCGAATTTTATTAAATTAACTTCACTTCCAGTGTCTACTAATAATTCAGCGAACTTTCCGTTTAAGTTGGCAGATTGACAAGTAAGATGATTGTCATTTAAGATTTATACGTTGTATAAACATCGTTTTGTTCCTCCTCTACAGTGGCTATTAAATTTATCGGTCGAGCACCACTTGTCTCGCCCGATCTTGGCAAGTTTCCCGAAGCATTACGATCATTATTTCGTTTTTTATAACATGTGGAGATGTCATATCCATTTAGTTTACAATACGTACAAGTGATCATTCCTGGAGTATTATAATTAGTTGGTTGTCGCGTATAGTTATTTTGAGTGTTAGATGGTCGCGTAAAATTATTGTTAGGCAGTCGCGCATTATTATTTCGTCGTATATTACAATCGCGTGCGTAATGATTTCCTCCACACTGATAGCATTGGATATTATTATAATTATAATTATTTGTATCTCGCGGCGGATATTGATTATTATTTAAATTGTTTCTGTTATTTCGATTCACATCCGGTCTATTATATTGCGGTCTAATAAAATTATTATTATTTCCTCTCGGATTAAAACTTTGTTGCTGATAATTATTATTGTTATTGAAATTATTATTATTTTATCTATGATTATTAGGCTGTCATATAGTATGCGGTCTACCGGCAAATGCGTTCTACCGGCCGCTGTAAGATGCGGTCTACCTACGGTTTTACCCGCAATCTTTTTCTATCTTTTAGATATACTTTATCTTAATTGCATTATACACAGATAACAATACTTCAACATTTTGTAAAAGTATTGGCCCAATAGCTCAGTTGCTCAGTATGTCATTTATTGCGCGACACCACATTTTAACACCATATTTTATACACCCAATATGTTGGCAAAAGACTTTTATTCAATAATTAGTAGTGACGAATCAACCACAAACTTTTTAATCAGCAAAAATCTTGTGGCAAATAATGAAAATGCCGAATGTTTAAAGTGTGGAAGTGGAATGAATTTATACCTACGTAAGGAGAGAGGTAAGGAAAGGAGAGTTTTACGTTGTAAGAGAAAGGGATGTCAAACAACACAAAGCTTAAGGTGAGAAAATTAACCACAGCGAAAATTTTGTTGATCCACTAACACAAGCGCACACTCAGAGGATCGAAAGTTTATGGAGACCATTACGCTTAAAAGTAGTTAAAAATATGTGTGGTACAAGTCCTGATCTCCTTCCAAGGTAAAAATATTATAAGTTATGTTTAATAAATTTAATGTAATAGTATACATATTATTGCAGGTATCTCATGGAAACATGGTGGCGAGGAATAAATAAATCAGATTTATTTAATGCATTTTTAAGAGATATGGCGGAAGTTTTTGTATAACGTATTATATTATATTTATTTATATTCATTGACAACAAATTTTTTGACTAACAAATTTTTAATTATTAATTTTTTACTAGACATTACTACTACTATAAATTANTAGGCTGTCATATAGTATGCGGTCTACCGGCAAATGCGTTCTACCGGCCGCTGTAAGATGCGGTCTACCTACGGTTTTACCCGCAATCTTTTTCTATCTTTTAGATATACTTTATCTTAATTGCATTATACACAGATAACAATACTTCAACATTTTGTAAAAGTATTGGCCCAATAGCTCAGTTGCTCAGTATGTCATTTATTGCGCGACACCACATTTTAACACCATATTTTATACACCCAATATGTTGGCAAAAGACTTTTATTCAATAATTAGTAGTGACGAATCAACCACAAACTTTTTAATCAGCAAAAATCTTGTGGCAAATAATGAAAATGCCGAATGTTTAAAGTGTGGAAGTGGAATGAATTTATACCTACGTAAGGAGAGAGGTAAGGAAAGGAGAGTTTTACGTTGTAAGAGAAAGGGATGTCAAACAACACAAAGCTTAAGGTGAGAAAATTAACCACAGCGAAAATTTTGTTGATCCACTAACACAAGCGCACACTCAGAGGATCGAAAGTTTATGGAGACCATTACGCTTAAAAGTAGTTAAAAATATGTGTGGTACAAGTCCTGATCTCCTTCCAAGGTAAAAATATTATAAGTTATGTTTAATAAATTTAATGTAATAGTATACATATTATTGCAGGTATCTCATGGAAACATGGTGGCGAGGAATAAATAAATCAGATTTATTTAATGCATTTTTAAGAGATATGGCGGAAGTTTTTGTATAACGTATTATATTATATTTATTTATATTCATTGACAACAAATTTTTTGACTAACAAATTTTTAATTATTAATTTTTTACTAGACATTACTACTACTATAAATTATACTATAATATTATGGTATTTTAAATTTATTTATTCACGGTATACCGCATACTATATTCGTAAATCACCGGTAGACCGCATACTATACTCGTAAATTCACCGGTAGACCGCATACTATATGACAGCCGATTATTATTATAGCGATTATTATTCTCAAATTCTCAAATCCTGTCCACAGCGCCAATTGTAACAAACCGACTACGCCCGTTTGATGGTGTTGTAAATAAATAAGAAGAGTTGTTCTTTTTTTTTATAAATTGAATACTTTTATTTGATTATGACAAAAAACAATAAATGTATAAGTCCAAAGTGACTATATTAAAGAATGGAGACTAGCGAGGTGTGACTGTCATATCCTAGCTCCTAGCTCGTCGTTGGTGTTGGTCCGTCTACCGAGCCCGTTCGAGCGACGTATTTATAATGGCTATACTTGGATCGTATCCCTGCTGAGTACCCTACTACTTTTACCATATAAGGTCATACCGTGGGCGGCCACGCGCTGCACTCACCGGATGTCCCTAGTCTTTCTGCTCGTTGTCATCTCTGTGACAACACAACGCTTTTGATGCGACTATTTTAATAATATTCATATGAGTAGTGATATATCTATGAACACATACGTTTGGAGGTCACGCGCAATGATTTATGGTACTTCGTTGGCCTCCTTCAACTAATATATATATATATGGAGTTCTTCTTATTCTTTGAGTGACATCGTGTCAATCACATGTTTATTTATAGCTACCTGAGGGATTTACTAATTATAAGTCATAGTCACAGCTCGCTACACAGTCATGACCGCATAGCCGGTTTGTCCAGCATGGCGCTATTGTGTAGGTGTATAGTAGGTTTAATGGCGAGGGAAGACGAATGGAAAACCTCAACAAAACCATTAGTATACGAGTATTTCAATGACGTAGCTCGAGATGACGACATGCCAGAGGTGGGCGTAGCCACTATTATATTTAAACAGTTAGATCCACCACGTCTTACGGGGGAGTAGAACCGGGAACAGTTGATAGCGTATCGAAATCTATCCATCCGTGTAACATAAGAGTTTTATGAAAACAACCCAGACATTAGAGTAGGGCTGTGGGAGAAATTCAAAATTGCGTGTATTATGAGAATTATGTGTAAAGCGAGACCTAGGTTAAACTAACACATATTCTAAGAAATATCATTAATAATTAAAGTATAATAAAAGCTCATTTAAAATAATCAATATTAATATATTGTTTGCTCGTTTCAGCCTTCTATAATATTAATAGAACATGCCTTCACGGCTTAGTTGATAGGCAATACAAGTACCGCTATCCTTATAGGAAATATGATATATTATAACAACACTTGCGTTGATAACATTGTTCTATATTTGATACAATATATAAGTAAAATATTAACAGGTAGTATAATAACAAAACTCACAGGTAATATGTCAAGTAGTGGATTTCATCCCACGCGACCGTGCCGGGGACGTAAATAATAAATACAAAATATTACAACAAGCACACGTGTGACTACTTGAACATATCACAACGTAGACACTAGAAAACGTAGAACCAAACATGAACCAAACGCCTGCAGATACGTAAAATGCCACCACGCATAAATCGGGCAGATGACAACAAAACGACCGAGCAAATGCAACCTAACAAAAGAATAATTTAATACGAGCAACTAACAGTCGCGTGAACGATACTTACAGAGGTAAAGGAAAGAAGAAAAAAACACGTGGTTTTTTTTTATACATGAATCAGAAGCAGACAACTTTGAACCTTGAAGAGATCGTGACATGACAAGTGCTCAGTCAGAAAGAAAAAAGGGAACAGAACAGCGAGACAGTGTTGCCAATATCTAAAACTCTGAAGTCGGGGAAAAATATTTAAAATTACCGTAAAATACCGTATTTCAATAATTTTTAAGGGGACGACTAAAAAAAAAAAAAAAAAAGCTATAAGCTAAATTTTAAATTATAATATGAACTAATCTTTAATCTATGAATATGACTACAATATATTAATATGATAACAAACTAAATAAATATGTTTAACAAAATATAAAATGATAATAAATCTTTCGTATTATATATTTATATACTATAAATCTTTCAAATTATGTAGGTCTTCAACATCTAATTCTTCAGTCTCTTTATACATTGTTGTGTTCATTGAATCTATCATTGTTTTAGTAGGTTGAAATTTTACACATGTTGTCTGCTTAACACGTTGACTTGATAGTAATAAGCCATTCAAAGTTTCAGTTTGAAGCTTATTACGGATTTTTGTTTTGATTAGATTCACCTTTGAAAATAATCGCTCACACTCAGCTGAAGAATGTGGTAAGCTTATTACTTGTAATACAAATTTCGCTACATTTTTAAATTTATATTCTCCTTCAATTTCCCAGTTATATAAGTATACCCAAAAGTCTTCAACGTGATTTTGTTTTAAAGATGGCTCTATTTCTACAATTACTAAATTCCTCCATTCATCGTCTATTTTCTGGAGATCTATATCTTGATACCTGTTAATTATTCTAGGAACATCATCAAAAAATGAATTCAATGATACTAGTCGATGTTTACTTAATGCATTTTGAGGAGATAAATGTTGCATATTCTTCAGAATAGAACATTTAAAATCGTATCTAAAAGAAATTGTTTTATTTATATTGTAATATAATTAAAATATTTAATATACCTATAATTTATAATTATTTATATTATATCAGTAATAATTTATATTTACCTTTTTCTTATTTGTTGACAAGCAGTTATTAAAAATTGTCTACATCTTTCGTAGAATTCCTTCAACATTTCCTTTTTTGAAAAGACTTCTGTTTTTTTTAGTTCATTCATAACACCAATTCCTAAATACATCTGTTCATTGGGTAAAAATTTTGAACTATCATCAGGTGAGACTTCTAGTGGTTTATTAATTTTAATCATGTATGAAAAAATCAACTCTAAATGTTTAACAGTGTATAATAATTATTTATTAGTTAATTAATCAAACAAACTAAATAATATATGGATATATACTATACCTGTATATATTTCTTCCATTTTGTTATGCATAGATGTTAAGACGACTTTTTCACTTTGAAATAATTTGTTTAATGTAGTAAATTTAGGCAACACCCATTTTAGGAAATTATAAAACAATAAAATCAAAGGGTCATTCAAATAATCATATATTTTATCAGTTGAAGCAAGTTTATCCTCATATCTGTGAACATTTATTAAATACTAAGTTTTAACTTTTTAAGATATTAATTATGGAAAAGAAAGTAAATAATACCTTTGTACTCTGAAAAAACATTTTCAATGGTTCCCATTGTTCTAGAATCCTACACACAACATTTTCTAATGAGAGCCATCTTGTTTGAGATGGCCTTAAAATTGTATGAGGCTCAACATCACAGAACAATTGGAACTCCTTAAACTGTGAAATCCTTTTACAACTTGATTTAAAATAATTATACACATCACGACAGAGATCCTCACATCTTAATAAATTATTAAAATTAAATATTAATAATTAATAATGTTATAATAATAATATTAAATTTACCTTCTAGGTAAAACTTTACATGATTCACTTGCACATAAATGTAAAGAGTGACAAATGCACTTTTGTATGAAAACTCCTGGAAAATCAGATTTAAATCTACTTGCAACACTATTCCAATTGCCCATCATAGCATTACAGCCATCGGAAGCAAATCCAATGATGTTGTTGTAAGGAATATTTTGTATTTCAAATGATTTCATAACTTCTGAATAAATCATATTGGCAGTTGCTCCTTCATTAGCAGATTTACTATCAGTAAATAGTTGTATTAAGCTCCAAAATGATGATTCTACTTTACATGTAAGTTCATTAAAGTAACGCACACATATACATAAAGTTTTAAGAGTGCCAACATCCGTGCTTTCATCAATAATAACACTAAAACAATTATTTTTTAGATTTATTGTTAATTCTTCTTTATGGCACTTGCCTATAACATTTTTTATTACACATGTTGCTTTTGTTCTTCCTAAATTGATTCCTTTTATAATATTTGAATCAGGAAAAGACTCTTTTAGTACACCAGTTAAATGGTCGATGGAATTTAAAGACATGTTATGCTCAGATATAAAACCACATAGTTTTATTTCTGCCAGTTTTATTGCTTCAGTTTCTTTTTTCTGCTGTACAATATTAGTAAAGCAAGATGCTATTGATGACGATTCATTCACTAATTTAACATTACCTATATGCTTTGAAGACTTAGAATGTTTCTTTAATGTAGACAATTCAGAAACAAAGTGTACCTGGCAGTAACGACAATATGCTTTGTAATCGTTATTTTTAACTGGTTCCAGCCAATTCTTAAATTTAGGATCTATTTGCCAGCTTCCTCTAAACTTTTGTTTTTGGTGGCTTAACTTAGTTGTAAATTCACCGCGGATTTTAACGACTCTGTCACCATCACTGTCATAGTCACTCATTTTAAGTTTTTTAATCAATTCAAGATTATTATTATAATATTATATTATACTGAATACTTAATATTATAATTATACTTTAATATTATACTGAAATATAATAGAAGTCAACAGACTATATGTCTATACTGCCTTGAAATAGAATAATAAATAATACCCTCGCAGTTATCTGTGGGATTATACATTGAGGAGTATATCTGGTTAAACATGATTGACACAACACTCAAATATAATAGAACAGACTATATGTATATACTGTAAATAAGAATTTAATTTTAACAAGAATATTTTCTTATCTGTGGGATAATCCACTGAGGAATATATCCGGTTAAAGGTGTATAACTTATAAATAATAATTTATCTTAAATTGCACTACACTATATATGACCCAATTTAAGACATGATTTTTTTGTCTAATTTTTCTTCAAGAAAATGAACAGAAGAACTGAACATGTATACAATAACATAATAAATATTAATATTTAAATTACCTGAATAAATTATATGAATAATAATATTGATCTTAAATTTAAATTAAGGAGGTAAAAATCAGCAATGATAAGATATTATCAATACTATGGCCGATGGGTGAAATACTGAAATTACCGTAAATTGTCCTTGGACCGTACCATACCGTACACT